CGCCTCAACTGATCATCGAGAGCCCCCACTTCACCTTCGCTCCCTCCATCAGTTCGCCCACTTTATCTTCGCGTCCCCATCAGCCACCCTCCTGCATTTAAAGACATCTACATACGCCACTGACTTACATGGCCAGATGAATAAAAATACTCAATCGAAATGAAATAATTGAATATGCCCAATACGGTCAAAGAAGTCTATTTAAAGGCCAACTCAGCAGACAGCATCGGCCGACGCAGCCCGACCCGATTTATCGTCGGGGACAGTCTTAAGCCGTCGTGAGAAATATTAAACATGTTTAATATTCTACGACGCGACTGTCCCCGACGCACACCATCGCGTCTGCGTTGTTTTACGAACCAGTCGAATGAAAATGATACTCAACGAAAATTCGTACTCAACGAAATGAACCAGTCGAATAAGCCCAATAACTCTCTCGCGTAATGACCCACGCCCCCATTTGATTATACAGGGACTTCTTCGACGAACAGCGAACAGATAGAAGTAGTAGGACTGCTGTAGAGCCTGAGGAACAAAATATTGGACTTATAAGGTTTATGATTGATTATTTTCGTCGTTTTCGAATATGCTTAGCTTGCGCGTAGTGCACTGCTAGGCATTTAGTTTTTATATTATATAACACATTTTCAGCAGGTGGTCTTAGCTTATTGCGTGTGCCCTATCTGGGCCAGGTGGGAGGTACTTCTCCCCGTACGTACGTATACTCCTCCAACAACCATCCCTCTAGCCTAGCTAGGCCCTAGGCCTAATCATGCTGGGCTTAGCCTAGGCTGGGTGGGCCTATCTATAGTACTGTTCTGTAGTTTAAATCGCATTTACTGGGACTACTTACTCATTGAAAAGGCTGATTAAAGCAGGGTTGTGGCACATTGAACTAGGCTAGGCCTAGCTAGTACCAGTAGACAAAAACAGAGTGTGTCAGTGAACATTATTGAATTCTTATAATAAATTTGCATTATTTGTTTACAGCTTGGCGACATGGCCAGTTGTTTAGATGCAGACCGCATCAGTCAGATCAGTGTTAGCATTGAAAGCATTAACCAGTTGGAGATGCAGGAGAAACTATTGTCACATGACCAAGATAATGTGCAGCGGCAGATAAAGCCAATCACCGCATCCACACTCACCCTAGATAATAATGATAGTGAAGAAGCGACAAATCAGAGTAGAAGTGGGATATATGCAGAAGCCGTAGAACACTACATTGCCGATCAGTATGAGTACAATGGCGTCCATGATCCTGAAGACCAGGAAAAGGTGAGGATGCGGACAGAGCTGCTACTAAAAGTTATGGAAGAGCAGACTAAACGGAAGACCATCCGTCAGTCATATGGCGGAAGTGATGATGACCTGCAGAGTGATATACGCGAGGATGTAGAGACTGACCCTTCTAAACGGTGCCTTTGGGCTGCCGAGAATAATGAACTTGACATCATAAAAGAGATAATAAACAATGATGCATCTTGTGTTGGTTGCTGTGATGAAGACGGCTACACCCCACTTCATAGAGCATCTTATAACGGCCATGTTGCAATGGTAACCTATTTATTAGGACACAATGCAAGTGTACGTGCAAGAACTTTAGATGGTTGGGAACCACTACATTGCGCATGTCGCTGGGGACAAGCATCCGTGGCTGCGATTCTTTTAGAAAATGGAGCAGATATCAATAGTCAAACTAATGGTGGTCAGACTGCCTTGCATCTGGCTTCTTCCAACAGAGAAGCAAAAGATGTCTTGGAACTGTTACTAATGAATCGGTACATTGACCCATCTATACACAATGGAGCAAATGAAACTGCCTACAATATCGCGCGTAGAGTTGGGCCTCTGGCTTATTTATTTAAAATTACTGATAAATCGCTAAACCAGGTTCAATGATAGTCATGAAATGATAAATGTAGCTCACTTCAATATTCAACTATAACATAATGCCATTGTCTGTTATAATATCACTGTATATATAATTAGATGTTGTAATTTCCTTGTACTGTACCTAAAAATATGATATATTTACAGTACATTGCACATAGATTATGGTTCTAGTATTTCTGTAAAAGATGGGAATTGCTTGTACTGGATATACTGAAAACTGTAAATCTTGTCTCTACATACAGTGTATAAGAATACTGTATATCTATGGACAGTGGAGGTATCTCATGAACAAATTGACCCATTCTAATGTTATTTAATGTGTGGAATGTCTTCTAAGGAAAATTTTTAGAAGGCGAAGGATTTTAAACTAAAAAAAATTAATAAATCTGAATTGAAGATACAGACATCATTCCACATAATGATAATAAATGACAATAAATAAAGTTCAAAAATTCAAAATAGAGTAAAGTTAAACTTGCTGAAGTTGACTTTGACTAACTCGAATGATTTTTAAGTCGAACTTATTTTACATGCAAAATTGCTGTGTTTTCCATTATTAACAATCTGTAAGTCAAATTTTATCGAAGTCGAACAATTTTTCAATTGTATTTTGGATTCAACTTCGTCAAATTCAACTGTACATTGTTTTAAATAACAAATTTTTTTTTAAACAGTGAACTTCTTTAGAATACTGTAAAGGGCTTTGTTTTTCCCTCACAATCAAGTTTTTATGTAAGAACTTCTTGTTGTTTTCCCATACAGTACAGTTATGGTTGTATTACACCCATATATATGTGTAATAATGTCATCACCACCGTACAGTATATAGGCCACTCATATACATTTGCAACATAAACCTGTTGTGTGGACAGAGGTTTAAACTAACAAAATCACCAAAACAACAATAATGCTTTAGCAATTCCATTGGGCTGTTAATGCCAATCTGTGATTCATATAGACAGAGTGCTTAGGCAGCCTAGTGTGGCCAAAAATAGTTGAAGGCGTGGGAGGGGAGGTTAAATCTCATAGAAATAACATTCTAGCATGCAAGTGGTGAAATTCGTTGTCTTTTTGATGCAAAGGGAGTGAGTAGTTTAGTTGTTCAGAGAGAGGTTCACTCATAAAGGTTGTTGGCCAAATCATAGTTACAGGATTGCCAAAGTGTTCATCTTTCACTAGCTAGGCTCTCGGGGAATGCTGCAATACAGTACCAGGATTTGTTTTCAATAACAAAAAAGAAGCCTTAAATAATATTTATGTTTATGTTATTAATTATATGTACAGTAATATTTATTTTATCATTCATTTGGTTTTTTTAAAAATATATATTTACTGTACTGTATGTCTATTTTTTATTTTGTATGTTTATAAAATGAACATAAACCATTTTTTCAACACCATTATCCAAATTTCAAATGGAGAATGGAACATTCCAAGTTGAAATTGTCCGAAATTTGACAAGTAAAATAAAGAATTTCTACATAAATTGTGTACATATACAGAATTAGTATATTGTGAAAAATCATATTGAAAGCATCCCGGCCTTGCACACATGTATTGTACGTTATAGTAAATAAACTAATGAATTGTATGCATATTTGATGATGGTGGATCAAGACTAATAAACGAAAGCTGAGTCATTGTGCAGTTAAGAGTTCCTTGTTTTGCTGTAATGGTCTTGCTTTCTTGTTTTCCTTTTTGAGTGAGTAGAGGAGGGGTGTGGCAGTTTGTCGCAGCGGTTTCGGGTCTCCGCTGTGCAGATTCGCTTGTGTCCTTGGGCAAGGCACTTTAGCTACATTGCTTCAGGGTCCATCCAGCTGTATCAATGGATACCAGCAATCTGCTGGGGACTAACCTGCGATGGACTAGTGTCCAGTCCAGGGGGAGTACAACTCTCATCTGCTTCACACTACAGAAGGGATAAGCTCCAGCCTTATGAGCCCTAGTGGCGCGAAAAGGATTTAGTTAGTTAGAGGAGGGGTGGGGTGCTCCGTTAGCTTGATTATCGTACTGAAATGACGAAAATTGCGGTTTCATAAAAAAAGAGAGAGAATGCAAACAGTAGGCCTCCACAAAAAGGAGAGGGAGTAGAAGGCAAATATGAATGTGAATATGATATACTGTAGTAGTAACTCCGTAGTAACACATAGAGAATGTTGTTTCGTAAAATGAATGGTAGAATCGCCCAGTGGCGGTGGCAGGGGGGCTTAAGCCCTCCATCGGTCTGGTCAAGCCCCCGCATCGGCCAAAGCTCGTCGGGCAGTTGGACCAAAACAAAAAAACAAAAACAAAAAATAGGCCTAGTTTTCCCATCCCAGCCATTTCCGGCCATCTAGAAGTCCCAATTTGTCTTAAAAAGTCTCGTTTTGGGGGAGGGGACACCCCCTACTATACCCACATCGACCAAAACTGGGAATTAGATCAAGGAACAATTTACCGACTTTTAAATAATACCTTTGATATAGTTTTTTTTTGTATTAAAAGATACTTGATGATATTCAAAACAAAACTATAGTTTCACGTTTTTTAGTTTTCATATACAGAGGCTACGACGAAAGGTACCCGTGTATAGCCTAAACAATGGAAGAGCTAAACGCAAAATTTAGCCTAAATAATGTGTAAATGTAGTTCAACAGTAGTTAGAATTGATACCCGCTTTTCATACTTATAATACCGTTTGTTAGCCACCTTTTTAAAATAATTTTGATTACGATATTCCCACATAGTAAAAATATGTTTTTCATACCGTACCTCCGTGGTAAAATGAACGAATCCGAACTGTTGGAAGAACGAGTCACGTGATGATCGTGACCGCCGGACCGCTGATCAGCTGACAGTTTTGTTTACTGTAACAATTATTAGGCATATCCTAGGCCTAGAAGGTTCATTCTTCAACTTTTTGTGTTGGCGCATGTAGTGTTTGCAAAGCAAGTGTTTTGATACGAAACATGCAGGTTATATAAATCGTTATCAATACAGTTGAACTGCGAAATAGCGGTAGTAAATTCTAGGCTAGATAGAGGCCTAGGCCTCTACAATTCAACGCTAAGGCAGACACATCGTTCTTCAAGCCGTTGTCACTGCCAATATGTCAGCGAATAACGTCATCTTAAGTGAGGCTGATGATGTAGATGAAAAGTCGCCTCTTTTACGGTACCATCTCTTGGGCAAGAGCATGAGTGTAGACGCTGGTCGGTCAAATGATCGGAAACTATCAACATTCTTTGGTGTCTTTTTGCCCTGCGTGCTATCTATGTTCAGTGTTATTTTATTTCTTCGAATTGGTGAGTATCACTTCCATTGTGATCATTGTACTACTTGTAGATTTGCATGGAATCAGATTTCATTTTGTTAATGTTATGTAGGCCTCGGATGTGACTACACTAGGCCTGGGCAATTGCCTTGTTGGTAGTAGTAAAGTTGAGACTCACAGCACAGTACTGAGGTACGTGACAAATATTTCAAATGCAAGGAATTCCTTTGCAGCCAGTACCATCTGAAAGAGCATTCATTGATGTAACATTACATTATACCAAGATCATTGGGTGTGTTTCTACTGATAAACAGAAAATAATCCATTTTTTTAATGAGTACCAGAGAGCCTGCTCGCGTTGCAACTGCATTTTTTATTTTTCAAAAATCGTTTTTCGTGAAGGAAATTACGTCACCATTTTGTTTATACAACACATTGTTTTCCTAACTGTATAGGATACAGTAGTATCTTTCTCATTCCTGTCATGATGACGAGGAGTAAGATAGGCCTATGGTGTGGGGCGAGAAGGCAAATGTTTTCAGCTGTGCTCATCGGCACAATGAACGAGCGACCAAACGAGGACAACGGTAGGCCCAAAAGAGTGGAGAGGCCTAGGCCCAATATCCCCCACAAAATAATTACAAAACGAATTCGTCGCTCCACATGTTTGTTGACGTTTTTAGCTTGTAGGCCTAGGACATGAACAAGAGGAAACTTTTTGTTATAAGTTCGTGCCTGATACGATCTAGTCTTTGCAGTGATTGACCTGAAGGTCACATTTCACCTGATAGTCACTTTTTTTTGTGTTGCAGCTAAAAGGTGCATGGCCAAAATCGGTTATTTTTGTCGTTCAAACACGCTATCCATTTCGTGTTTTTAATCAATTTTTTTTATCGCTTTTTTCAAACTGGTCCCGTTTTTTAGACATATATCAATAAAATAAAAAGAATTTGAAACCATGCAATAAGGACAAAAAAAGAATTATGAAACTCATTAAAATTCAGTCAGTTATTAATTAAATAATAATTTAATTAATTAATGTGATTAATTACTGCATGTGATTGCAGCAAGATCAGACCTGCATGATGTTAGCTTGCACCACACAAACATTTAGATTTGAGGAATTTCCATTCACAAACAAATTCAAAAACTCTCAAATATTATTTCTACAGTAGGCCTATAACCTAGCCTAGCTAGAATACCATCTACATTTATAATACATTCATTAATAATACAAATGTATTAAATTCAATTTTTTTTCGCCATGGCTAGAGATATATGGTACTGTACCTTAACCTCCGTTTGCTAAAAGTACTGTACAGTAAATTGCATTATCCAATAAAATACCGCCACCAGCATGACAACATCGTTCAAAAATGGCTCACTGTGAACCTGCATTCCTGCCGAGTTGCGTATACAAAAAGCGACATAAGACAACGTCGTCAAACTCTCGGAGCACAAAACAAGTCCACAATTGAGCAACTCACCAAAAATGAATGTACAGTAAATAAAATTAAACATGACTACAGAACAATTAATGGCAATCTTCTATCGCATATTCCATAAAGTAAACCGAGTGATTGTTACACTATGTTCATGGAGGAATTAGTAATTCCTCCATGGTACATATGTTAGTCACTCAACAAAGATACATATGTACTGTAACACCTTTACTGTACAAATAGCCAACCAAGATAGTTACTTAGGCCTATACAATAGTGTTAGCTTTCGTATGAGAAAGGATGTTATAATTAAATTTTACCTTTTCCTGATATAGTGTAACATTTGACCTGACCTACAGTATTATGTAGAGATAATACTCCATTAGCTACTGTATGTAACTTATAATTACAGTGTTATGAATAACAATATTTTTGTGCAAAGTTTTAGTGAAAAATAGTTAGAGTATCTTTTTTTTTGTTTTGGAAAGTTTATATATATTCTGGGTGCACAATCACTAATATGATGGGTGGAATTGTGAACCAATAAAATTCAAATCAAATTCCAAGAAATGTAATACACGCCATCGTGTTGGGAATCAATGGTTCGACATTTATTATAGCGTGTATTTTTTTTTTTTGAGTAGTGAGTTAAATTACAACTCCCTAATTGGCGTTATACTGTTTACTAAGGTTAAATAAAATGTTAATAGCAAAAAAAACGTTATTTACAATCTTGGCTATTGTACAGTATACTGTAGTTGTTGCATAATATATAATGTTTATTTATGTGACTATACATTAACAATCCCTAATAAAATAACTTCATTATTATTGCTTCACAAATATGAGATTTGTAAATATAATGGGTAGACCTTACTGTAAATAAATACTTGTATGCTTATTGTTTGTTGAATATTCTTTTAAATGTATATTTGTAAGAACGTGACATGGGATACGTTAGTGTCGTAATAAGATTAACTCATACAAGATAGATAAAAGTACTAATTGTCACTTCACCAACCACTTCCTCTGCATTCAGCGAGCAATTTCACAAGTCTCTATGAACAATGACATCACACCGTTGGCGGCATTTTATTGGATGATGCAATTTACCGTACCTTTAGCAAACGGAAGATAAGATACGGTACCCTATCCCTAGCCACAGTGTTTTTAAGCTCTTGTATTCAGTCTGTGGCAGATTCTAACTCTCTATATAAACAATAAAACTATGCATTTTTTTTATTTGGATATACACTACAATTTTATATCAATGAGTGGCATTCAGCCATGTAGGCGGTGCTTCCATAAAAATAAAAATAACAAAAATCCTAAATAAGGTCTTTCACGGAAATATACAAATTAAAAATAGACTGTGGAACATGCCATACTGTGTTAACACGTGAATAGATTAGAATCATAAGTGGAGCACTTATCTCTAGAACCAAACTGAGAGTACAATGAGACATCGTTATCTCAAATTACTGTACTCATGATTCAATGAGTCATGATTACTTTTGTTCGTTGTAGTAGCACTTTTCTTTATACAATAGAATATTTTTTGGATTACGCTTTCATAACACTGGCAGGCACACGTTAGACAAAACATAACAGTGCATCGAAAAAATAACAAAATGCAAGCAACAAAAATATAAAATAAAATTCTTAACTATAAAAGAGATTGGCACATTACTCAAATTACATTATTTCCCACCCGCCAATCAAATTAAACACAGAATATAAGACTGGTTTGAAAAGTTGTGCAAAGCAAACCAAGATGCTAACTCACCTCGCAACGCTCCGAACTGATACCACCAGACCCCTGCCAGGCAATGCAACCAGCTGAATGCTAGCTGTCTTCTCTGTCACTGGGTGTTGTTTGACAGGGAAGACAACAGTAGCACCCAGGCAGCCGCACCGTCCGACGAAGATCTGACAACATCGGCCTGAAAACGCAGCAAAGCAAGCCAACGCCTCGGTTACACTTTGAACGAATTTTTAGTCAGTATACATATAGAAACTAAAATATGAAATTATTTGAACATTTAAGAATATAAAAACAAAATTAAAAGAAAAGCATTAGTTTATGCTCTACATAATTATGTGCATGCACGCACGGAAATGCTTACACATGCTTATAAATCAAATAGAAAAAATTAATAATAATACTGTAAATAACACAACAGCACAGATTGAAACTATAAACTATGAAATTTTAAATACTGTATACCACATCTGCTTTTCCATACTTTTGGTTAACAATTTGCAAAATTGTCAATTAAAATGTTGATATTCTTAAAAAATTGTTATTTTCATTTCCGAGGATAAAATGTAATTTATTTCTATTATTAAACTGTTCAAATTCTTGGAAAACATGTAGAATATTATTACTATAAAGCTGTTGTTTAAATCTGGCAATTTCGACTTCTCTGATATTATTAAGAATAGGACAATTTAAAAGAAAGTGCATTAAATCTTCCTCTTCACCAGTATTATACAGAGTTTGCAAGTGCCATCTTCACAGGGCATATTCGATAATTTTGCAGAGGAAGGATATTCGAACGTAATTTAAATTTTAATGATGCACCCTCAAAGTCGCATCTATCGAGAAAGTAGTCTTCTATGGGTACGTTCTTAATAGCCATTTTTTCCATCACCAAGCCAATGGGAGAGTGACAGATATCTCATGATATTTTTTGTTTTAGAAGCCCAATCTGTGCTCACATTATTGTCTTCATCTTTTTCTAAATCTAAGAAAATATTATCTATACAGTCATTGAGAATGTTTATTTTACAAGTTGGTATTTTAAAGGCATTATCATTAAATATTATCTGATGATGTATCAACAATACAATAGTTTTTCAATAAAAATTTTAGGCCAACGATTGTTTTCCATTTTAAAAATCTGTAATTAATTTTATAAATATTTTGAATTAGAGAAAGTTTTGACCACTCAAGATCACTGTACAGTGTAGCACAAAGTGTATTACGGGGGCCTTTAAAATGAACCTAGCGATTTGTAATTGTAACCTTTCAACATTCTATCGGTCAATGGGAAATAAGTCTGTTATGCAATCTCCAAATTTACCATGCCTTTTATGTATTGTTAGCATACAATCTAGATTATTTTCCAAGCGTCTTCTAATTTCTACATTCCAGACAAGCTTTTAGAAGCCAGTCTCTCTGTACAGTGTCAAATGTCTTCCGGAAGTCCAGTAAGGCCAGATATGTATTTTTCTCTTCTTTGTGTCTACAAGCAGCTATGCTTTTTATGACAAATTTATTGATCTTCACATTGTCTGTCTTTTCTGAAGCCTCCCTGAACCTCCGAATGGGCATTATCGTTTTCAGGGTGACCTTACACACTCATTGCCATAATTCTATTGTATATTTTAAATACACAAGATGTAAGGGAAATGCCACGATAATTTTTTAAATATTTCTTATATGTATAACTGTACAATTTATTCCAAGTGAAAAACATATTTACAAAAACACTTGAGAAACAAGTTGATGATATATACAAATTGATAGAAAGCGAAAGTAATGTGTACTCAGGGAGGACAAACTGAGGAGTGTCTATAAAAGTACAAATGTATGTGATATAGCATCACCTTTCATACCATCTGACCAATAAGGATTAGTAATTGCCTGTCCTTGTCTAGTACCTGGGAAACTCATCATCATTCCCAAATGATGTGTGGTCATTTGAATTAAGGCAAATGACCTTAAGGCTGTGTTCACACACACGGCGTAAGACTGGCGTGGCTTACGCCAGGCGTAAGCTAGTCCACGGATTAAAATTCCAAAGTGTTCACACAAACGGCGTTCGTTAAACTAGCAGTAATATAGGCC